CTCACAACTGGACCAGTAAATAACACCACAGCAGGTGGAGAAAAGACTGAAGTTATCCGTGATTTAATTTAATTGGATTCACAATCAACATCTGTAGGAGCAGCAGTCAAGAAATCAAAAGATGTGTTACTTTGGGCAAACCAGCTATCAAGTGTTGAAAAAAGCTCTTTTAGCTCTGTTTGAGCCTGGAGGCAAGCCACTCTGCCAGGAAGCCTTGGCTGAGGGCACCAGCTCCGGCTCCGCGGACAGAGCTCTGCCAAGCACCACACTCCACCAAACAATCTTCTTTCTGAAGGTACTTCAATAGTTCATGCTATGATCGATGAAGCCCCCTGCAGGGTGCTGCCTCCCGAAGTTCTCCCAGTTCTGCTGCTCCAGTTTCTCTGCCAGTGTTTCTCGTCACCTCTAGATTGCAGCTGTCTCTTGAGTCGAGAAGGCTCTCAGAACCTGGACCTTGGATCTATAACATACTTTGTTACTGTCTTTTCTTCTTGGAGGGCGTGATCTCCACTATGCTTGGGATTGACTCATGTTAAGGCTTATGGAATGGCAAAGCTGACAAATCCCCTTGTTAGACTGTCATACATCGTATTTGCTTGGTCTCACACCCAACAACTGTGTTAGAATTTCATCCACCTTATTTGCATTATAAGCAAGCTGTCCAATCCCCTTGGTGGACCAGGAATACCTAATTTGCATAGTCCCACCCAATCACTCAGTGAGAGTTACAAAGACTGGGATTGAAAGAGCCATATTAAGTAATTCTTTGTGTGTTAAAACCATCCACTTGTGATGTATTTACATTATTAGAAAATGGAAATAGTTGGCTCACTCTATTACTTATTAATTCCCACAAGGGGGCAGGGTAGGAGTGGGAGCCGACCGGTTGTTGCTAGGGGCCGTTGAGTCGAGTATGACTCATAGTGACCCTATGAACAACAACAGATCTGAACTCTGTCCTGTCCTGTGCCATCCTCACACTTCCTGACACATTAGAGCCAATTGCAGCAGTCACCGTGACAATCCGCCTGGTTGAAGGTATTCCTCTCCTTCGCTGACCCTCCACCTTTCTCAGGTCCTTCTCCAAGGAATAGCCCCTCCTAGCAACATGTCCAGAATATGTAAGGCGAAGCCTCATTATCCTTGCCTCCAAAGAGCACTCTAGCTGCACCCTCTCCAACACGTATTTGTTTGTTCTTTTGACAGTCGATGGTATGGATGTTCAATGCTCTTCTCCAACACCACAGCTCAAAGGCATAATTTTTCTTCTGTCATCCCTATTCATTGTCCAGATCCCAGATGCAATAGCAAGTCATTGGAAAGACTGTGGCCTGAATCAGACGTGATTCCGCTATTGTAGTTACAAACCAAATTGGAGCCAGAACTGGAACATTGGGAATCCCCAGGAATACTGACCTTTGCTGATTTTAGGAGCACACACTATAGGCACAGAAACAATCCAGGCACGTTCCCAAGGCCAGTCCTTGTCTTACAGCTTGAGGAAGGACTCTGGGCCCCCTCAGTCCTCCCTGCTCCCTCCCCCTCCCGGCCAGCATCCACCACAGACAACAATGCACAGCCATCTTTATAAGGATATTTTTATTGAAAATAAAAAAGTCACGGTGATGTCCTCCTTGTAAGCAGCACACGGCACACCCCGATGGCACTGGCCCCCCTCCACGCTGCCCATGCCCAATGTCACTGGCCCCCCTCCACGCTGCCCATGTGCAGTCCCACACTGGGCCATACAGGGTGCTCGCTGGAGGACATGCTGGCCTCAAGTGCACATCTATCCGGAGACGGAGCTGTCTTTCCCTGTCCGCTGGGCTTGTGGTTAAGAAGGCAGATTGTGGGATATTTACAATCATGCATTAGGTATTTCACACTAGCTGGGTGTTGAAATCAGACTTTGTACAGATATAAGGAGTATAATAATTATATATAATATCTCTTTAAATATATATATATATAACTATATATATGTCTATATTTTTACATCTATTAGTTAGTCATTCCTTCAAAACTTGCTTTCAGAGCATCTAAGGAGCATGTGAATATTGGGGAATCCCAGATCCAAACTCACTCACCCCACTGCCATTGAGTCTATCCTGACCTCAAGCAACCCTGCAGGGCAGAGCAGAACAGCCCGCAGGAGCCAACTATGTGTTCACAGAGCAGCTGGTGGGCTTGAACTGCCAGCGTTTGGGTTAACAGCTGAGCACGCGACCCACTGTTCCACCAGCGTTTCTTTAAATGTTTACATGCATGGAGTCAGAGCTGACTCATAGCTGACCCTCTTGGGGGCTTTCAGAGGCTGTAAACTTCACAGGACGAGGCTGTCCATCTTTCTCCCACAGAGCAGCTGGTGGATTCGAACCTCGTGTCTTTGGGAGAGCCACATAACTCCTAACCACTAGGCCACATTCTAGACGCCTTTAACTTCTCAAGTCAGCCTCAATTGGGAGCGTGTTGGAGAGGAATCTAGTTGAAAATGAAGCTTTTGTCCTCAACCAGCTTCTTGGGGTTCCCTGGTTTGTGTGTAGGGGGTGGGTGACGAGAGGGGGAAATGCAGATACATTCCTTAAAGACAAGTTCTGACTCTAGTGCCAGTTTAAGTTCCTAAACCCAGGTGGGCCCCTCGCATTGGGTCCTGAGCCGAGTCCTCGGATGGCTGGGGCTGGGTCTGGCAGTGGCTCTCAGTGAATCCCTGTTTCCCGACTGGCTCCTTCCTGAGGTTGTCACTAAGACTGAGAAGGTATTTTAAGACCCACGTCTGCGGACCCTGGCTTGCAAAGGGTAGTCTTTAGTGGAATCTCAGCTGTGCCATCAAACTGGGAATAAGGTCCAGGTCCTACAACATGAGGGATGCTACGGGGTGGTGGGGGACAGTCCCACCCAGGGCTGCAGGGATACGACAGTTCCTATGGACTTACGGGTACCCCTAAAAGTGTCAGAGCAGAGCTGTGATCATGGTGTTTTCAAAGGTTGATTTTTATCTCTCAGAAGTAGATTGTCAGACCTTCCTTCTAACGTACCGCTGGACCAGTGCCATCCTCTCAGCTAGCAGCCAAGCATACTGACACTTCCTGCATCCAGGGAGGATGAAGGCACTCACATAACCTGGCCCTCCTAGGCTTCAGCCAGTCTGGGCATCGGTGAGGGTGTGGGGCTAGCAGATTCGTGACGAGCTGATCTGTGCCCTGTGCCAAGCTCCTCCAGGACCTGCTGCCCCAGCACTTGGTCAGGATCCTGCCCTCTGGCTTCTGCCCTCTCTGACCACTCCTAGGCTTCTGATTGGCCCAACGACACAGATGTTACCCACAGATTATAGTCCAGGACATAGGGTCCCACTGAGCAGTGTGCTTGGGCATGGATAGGAGGTCATGGGCAGGGGTCAGCAGGCACCGGGGACGAGAAGCACTGGTGGGAGGGGTTTCCTGGGACCCAGCCCTGCCTTGTCACTGACACCCATCCCTCAGGCCTTTGCCATCGGAAGTCTGGTCTCTGGGACCTCTGAGGGAGTTACGGGCACCTTCTGAGGAGTGCTTGCTCCCTGGTGCGGGTGATGATGGTGGAACTGCTTGTTGGGGGAACACTGCCAGGCCAGAGGGTGCTGGAAAAGCAGATCTCAGATCCAAGCCTGAGTCCTCAGCTCCTCCCGTGGATGGACACCAGAAAAGCAGGATGGGTCCTTATGGAGCGTGGGCCCCCGCTGGTCCTCGGCCTGCACTGGCCAGGCAGGCTGTGGGTGAGGGCCATGGACACGCACTTTGACGAGGACACACAGAAACTGGACAGGCACAGGGCTTTGGGGTGATTGGCCTTTTAAAGGGCTGGTTTTCACATTTCTCAATTTCACCTGCATTTACAACTTTTGTGGCTAAAGGTCCAACCATTTAACACCTTTGTGGACCACCCAGCTTAGTCCCTCTGCGGCCCCATGTAATGTGCCTGGTTCCTTATGAATGAGAGGAGGCAGGGGCAGGACCTAAGGGGTCACGAGAGCTCCTCAAGACACCACGGGACATGAAGCCATGAGGCTACTGGCTCTGTGGGCCTACTGTGTGCTCCTTGGGGCAGGCAGGTCCTGGAGACCAGGCTGACCAGGTAGGCATACTTAGCACGGGGGGACTCTCTCCTCTCTGCTGGGGTTTCCTATTCCAGAGTGTCCACATTTTCAGAACTCGAGATCCTGGCGAGACATTTATAAGGTACACTGGGAAAGACCATCTCATCGTGGATGAGGCAGGGCCAGTGATCAGAGGGTGAGAGTACCACCTGGGCGTAGGGGTGGCACAGTGGTGGCGTCTGCTGGCCAAGGCAGGGCCTGGCTCATGTGGATATATCGGCTGGATCAGTTTCTATAATGTGGGGTCTGAGGCTGTGCCTGAGAACAGGTGTATGGCCGTGGTCCTTCCCGACAGTCCTGGCCCCCAGGCAGGCTGGCCCAGGTGGAGGGGGAGCAGAGAGGAGGCACAAAGGATGATGACAGATGGGCAAGGGGCAGAGGAGGGCAGAGTGTGGAAGCACCGTTGAGGAGGGGGTCTCAGGGCCGTGTCAGTGACTTCGGAGAGGAACGGTGGGGTCAAGAGAAGCTAGGAGAGGGCAGGTTTCAGCGAGGGGTGGCCCCCCCCGGGGTGTCCTTTCTTTCAGCTAAACGGGATGTCTGCTGCTCCAGATGACAGGAGGAGTCCGCTGTCCACCTGCTTCCTGCTAGACCATGCGCTTTAGACAGCAGTGCGGACAAGACAGGGACACGGCCGTGAAGGAGCCGCAGTTGCGTTGCCTCAGCTGCATGCAGAGGCCCCGGCTCCAGCCTGAGCTGCCCAGGCCAGCAGGAGACAGGGCAGGGCTGGGAATGGTTTTCTCCTTGAGTGATGTGAGCTCTGCTATGCCCTGAAGTCCTGGACAGGCCCAGGGCCTGCAGCGCCCCCCTGCTGTCCCATGTCCACAGTGAGGTCAAGGTGTCCCTCTGGTGGGGTGCATCCAGGGCCGCAGACTCACACCACCGCGTTGTTCACATCCACGCCTTTGTTGCTCGGGGTGGAGGTCATGGGGTACTCGGCGACACCAGTGCCGTTCTCATCCTTCCGCAGAGGTTTCCTGGAAGGGGGTGGGGAGGGCGTGTTATTCACTAGCATGAGCTCCACCCTGCCTCCCACCCGGCGTTTCTGACACCCCACCAAACGCTGATCTGGGTTGGAATCCCTGGACTGCTGATCCTCCAGGGTCAGGCGGGAGCTGGGTGTGGGATTAACCAGGGTGACCGTGCAATTTGTCTCGCAAGTCAAACTGCACGGTTGAGAGTGAAAGGGGGAGACAATAATGAAGCAGGGATGGCAGGTGCCTTGGGAATGTTCCGGGGGCTCCGAATAGGCGGGGAGCCTAGTGTTGGTGGAGTTGTGTACCACTGAGTCAGAACTGACCCACAGCTGACCCTCCACGGCGTTCCTAGAGGTTGGACTCACACGGGAGGAGATTGCCCATCCTTCTCCCAGCGAGCAGCTGGTGGAATCAAATCGCCTGCCTTTGGGATTGCAGCACAGATTCTTACCACCAGGCCCCCAGAGCTCCCTAGCCTAGTGTTAGGGCTTTGACTGATCACTTTTATTAGGAGGGGACAGACGTGAAGATGAGTATTTGGGGTCGAGGATGAAGATAGTTAGTAGAAATGCCAGTGCTGGATTTTGCAGTCAGGCTGCAGTGTGGTCGGGAGACATGGAAAATGTGGCAAAGGGGCCAGTGCCAAGGGAGACACTGCAGGCAATGACTGGGTGACGGTGGAGGCAGAGGGGGGATGTCAGTGCTGGGGATGTGGCCGTGCTTCCTGTGATGCTCGTTATGACAGGAACAATGGTACTGACGGTGTTGGTGACAGCAACAGTGGCAGACGTGGGGGTGGCACTGGTGTGGGTTGTAACCACGGGACCGTGATGACGGAGAGGATGACAGTGTGGCTGTCATCATGGTGGGGTGCTGAAATGGTTGTGACGGTGGTGATGATGGTGGTGAGGGCAGTTGTACCGATCATGGTGAATAAACTCTCCACGCCAAGTGTCTCCTCTTCACTTTATACTTCAGAGGCCCAGAGACCACCTAATCCCCAAAGCCACTCCCCCTGTGCAGAAAGGGAGTCAGGAAGATGGGGAAGGGAGGCTTCGAGAACACCCTCGCATCCCTGCTGAGGTTCTGAGTCCCCAGCACCACAGTGACTCCCACCTGCTTCTCAGCTTCCGGGAGGGCCTTGGCCTCCAGCTCTCTGCCTGGGTGCCTACAGCCCTCCTGGTCTGGCAGGAGGTTCTGAGGAGTCCAGTTAGCTCTGTGAGGACATCTGCTCGCTCCTCAATGTCTCGACAGAGCTGATTCTCACCCCCAGTGACCACAGGCTGAGTCTCAGTTGCCCTCTGTTTTCCAAATTGAATATTTGTGGTCATTACCCAAAGCCTGGGGACCACTGCTTCTGGGTCCTCAAATGTCCCCAAAGCCTCCCCAAACTCAGTGTTAGAAGGACTAGGATTTGGGGGCCCATTTGAAGGCCGTGGGTTAAGGTCTTCTTATTAATTAGTTTGAGGGGAGGGTCTGTAGGTTATCAGTAGGTCCACAGGAAGGATTAGCAAGCGACCAACCTGCTCAGAGACGACACTCTGAGATCAAATTTAGAAACACCCTCCCTTTTCTTTTGCAGTAGAAAAAGCTCACAAAACAAGAACCCCAAATGCTTAGTCTCGATGGCCAAAGCCAGGCTCTGTGGCTTCTTCCGGAAGAGCAGGCTGGAGAACGCTGCTTCCCTGGAGCGCCATGCTCTGTGCAAAGCTCCAGCGTCTTCACACTCCTTCTCCCCACCGGCCCTGGAGACGCTGGGCCTGGAGGTAAGTGATTCATCTCGTGGAGGAGACTGAGGCTTAAGAAGAGCCATGACTTGCCCAAGGACTCCCAGCTGGCCTGTGGGGGCTCCTGGGCCACCACCCTCTGATCCTGTCTCCCAGTCCTCAGGTTTGTCTGTGAAATCAGCATTCCCAGAAGGCGCTCCCCTGGCTCTGGGCTCGGTGCTCGGATAAGCCCAGGGAAACCTCCGGAATAGTCACAAAAGCTCTGAGGAGTGACGTGCATCAGGAAGCCTGCCTTGTCATCAGGAATCCTGCCTTGTCGGGGCTTAGAAGACGTTCACTCACACCTTCTAGAACCTTTCTGTTTGCCAAGAGCTGCTGCTTCTCTAGGACAGGGCCCCTTGGAATACCCCTGGGCCCCACCTGAGGTCTCCCCGGGCCTGTCCTTCCTCTACCTCTGGCCCTCTCCCCTTCCTTCTCTGAGGCACTGGGGGCAGCTCGGCGGTTGTGGGTAGATTTATCTTCTGACCCAGAGAGTCGAGTAGCCTGGAAAACAGGGGGTTTGGGTCTGGAGATGGCCGTTATTAATTACCATGGGATTCTGTGCTTCTCCCGTGAGGCTGCTGGGGGACTGAAGTGGGATTCTTAAATTTATCATCAATACACAAGGAAGAGAAGAGACATCGGATTCAGGATTCCAGAAAATGCGAACAGGCAAAAACTCTGGGCCTAAACCTACATTGCCTTTCGCCTCCAGATTTATTAACTTTCAGGCTTAGGTCTAAAGAAAAAATCAGCTGTAATACATCGAGGTCAGGCGAGGTTGGGCTTAAGGGCCTTTGAGGGTGGATAATCCACAGGCAAAAAAGAGGGGCGTGCAGCTCCTGCTGGGACCTGTCTCCGTCCTGGGAAGGAGGGGGATGGGAGCCGCCTGGTGCCCCCAGGTCCTGGGGGAGGGAGGTTCAGAAGGCCCCAGCAGGAGGCCAGTGAAGGGAAGCAGACAGGATGCAGGCCAGGGCCTAGGCAGGTAAAGCGGGCCCTTATGGGCTGGAGCATCCCAGAGCCTGAGGTCTGTAAAAGGGTAAGAAGGGGCTCGGGGGGCTTCCTGAGACCTGGATTTGGTCTGCTCCACTCCTGTCCCCTAGAGCTGACCCCATACCACTCTGCTGCCTGTGAGCTACCTGGACCCCCACACTTTTGGGACTGCCTGGCACCCCTGGAAGAGGGTTTCACCTAGAGCAGGAGATGACCCGGCCGTTGTGCTAGCTAGCCCCACACCTGGACATTTCTATCTACCATGACAGAAGGGTGTGGGCTAGGGGTGAGGGGCAGACGTCACAGCTCTGTAAACCCTGGTTCCACACTGTCGAGCTGTGTGACCTCGGGCAAGCCACCCACCTCTTCATGCCTCAGCTTCCTTGTCTATGAAATGAACACAACCAAGGTGCCATCCCGTGGGTCTGGTGAGGATAAAGAATATTAATACATGCCAAGCACGTAGTGTCTGGTATTATAGAGTAAGTGCTCAATGAGTGTTAGATGTCAGTACTGCTGTTGGCAAGGTGTCACTGGGGAGGTCCCATTGGCTGGCAGCAGCCGGAGCTGTCCCGTCCACACAGACTTCCTACCTACTTTGCCCCCCATCGGGTCCCGAGAACGCCGGGCACTAGGGCCCAGCCTGGTCCCAGTAACCAAAGGAGGGCCCTTTCCACCTCGGTCCAGGCAGAGGTGGCCACAGCTGGCTCTCTAAATGGCTTGGTTCCTGAAACCAAGAGAAAGGCAAAAGAGCTTGGAGGTCACGTTCAGGAGCGGAAGTTACGGATGTGCTCAGGGTTTCTGTCTATAGGAAGCATTCCTCCACCTCGAGACCAAAACGAGGGTGAAGACCCGACCAAGCAGCTTGGAAATGGCAAGGGGGCCCAGGAAGGGGGTTCCGGGAAGGGGGTTCCAGGAAGGGGGTTCCAGGGAGGGGGTCCAGGGAGGAGTGTCTAGGGAGGGGGGTCCAGGCAAGGAGGTCCAGGCAGGGAGGTGCAGGAACGGAGGTCCAGGTGGGGAGGAGGGTCCAGGGAAGGAGGTCTAAGGAAGGAGATCCAGGGAAGGAACCCTGGCTCAGGTATTAGAAGGTTGAGACTTGATTCTACAACAAAACACAAGGATGTACTCCCAGAATCCGGCCAAGGTCCAGAGAAGAAAAAGTTGGTCTTAAAGCAGCAAAATCCATGCATTTGCTCAAACCCAAAGACACCCTTTCTTGGACGATACCACTGTTGACTTGATGCACAGCGGAGCCGGAGCTGGAGGGAAGCATTTCCAACCAGACATGTTGGGTTTGCGTGTCAAGATGTTGTTAGAGGCACGTGTGGGAACAACAATGAGAAAGGACGGTTAGAATGTCTGGTCTTGAGTTTACAGTCACAGTGTGAGGTGCCAAATGGTTCAGAGGGTTTAAACCATGAAAGTCCCCAGTGTGGATATCCCAGCAACTCAAGATGCATCCGAGATGAAGTTCTTGCTTTTAGAGGCTCATGGCAAGGCGGTGACAGATGAAGAGGTTCCATCTGTGTCCTGACCCTTGTTCTCTGCTGACCCAGCCACCTTGCCTGTCTACTGGCCCTGACTCCAGGGCTTAGTGACTAGGACAAGATCCAGAGGGAGAGGGCTGGGTGGACCATGGCATGCTGGTGTGTCCTGCGGAGCAGAGGACGAGGGCTCCTCGTGGCTGTCCTATCCTGAGCACATGTCATGTGAGGGTGGGATGGAGGCTGTGACACTCGGAGGCAGGGAGGAGGGATGCTGAGGCAGTGGGCATGTCCTCAGCTTGTGTATGGAGAAGGCTAGGGTGACAGGGGTTTAGAGGAAGCAAAGGAGGGACAGGAGGAGTTGGAGGGAACAGAGTGGAGGGAAGGATCTGGGCTAGGTATTTAAGATTTACCCTAAAAGTAGCTTCTCATTCACCATCCAGATGGAGACTAAAACAAAAATGTATGAGTGTACTGAAGTTCTAAGTCAAGTCTGCCAATTTCAAAGGTAGAATCTGGCAAGTCTACAGAATCAAGCCTTCATTCATGCCTTTCAGACCGTCACTGAACAAGTTACGCTGCGCCAGGTGGCGTGCCAGCTCTGTGAGGAGGGAGATGAGTAAGATGAGATCACACACACACACACACACACACACACACACGCACATAGACAGACACAGACACACACACACAGACACACAGACACACATACAGAAACACAGACACACACAGACACACACAGACACACAAAGGCACA